TGGACCACAAAATTATATCATTATATCCAGATATTGTTATTTCCGTAAGGCAACAAATTTGAAAAAACAGGAAGTGGAAGTATTAAAATAACTACAGAGGAAGATAATGTAATACTTCATGAATTTGATGTTCACTCCAATCATAACTAAATACAACATGTACATGTAAGTTACAAGTATACCTCAATTTTGTCTTAAAAGAGAACTATAGAGTTCATTTCGTAACAATAGAGGCCAATGTCCCTCTATTAAACAAAAGAAAAAAACAAAAGAAATGGCCATGTAATCCATTTCTGCCAGACGTTTTACTTAGCTTCTCTGGCTTTCACAGGTCAAACTGCTGGTGGTATTTCAACAGAATTTCAGTGGACCATCGGTACAAATGTTCATTGTGTATATCGTTGACAAGTTCCTCTTACTGCATAAAATGACCACTATGGCTAAAAATAAAAATTCCCTTTCAGACAGGAATTCGACAAAACTTCACAGGAATTATATGGATAAACCTTTGTTGGTCTTACAAATAAATTTTCCTACTTATCTTCTTAGAAAGGCCTTTCTTTTACATTTGCCCGAGCGATGGTTCTAAGTACCTATTGATGTAACAGATAAACTTGTTCAGCAGTGTTACTGTCCTATGTTTATGGTGGAACTATTTTGCTTTTTTTACTTCCTGAAGGGTGAGCATATAGTCGCCGCTTTGTCAGTCCGTCTGTCCGTCCGCTTTTCTAGTCCGGGACATAACTTTGAAACAACAAGAGGTATCAACAAGAAACTTTGTAAGTAGATAAATTTCATTGAGTAGGTGTGCAGTGCACAAGAACCGTAACTCTGCCTTGCCTAATTTTTGAATTATTGCCCTTTGCTTATTTTTATACGCCCGTTTGAAAAACGGGACGTATTATGGGAACGCCCCTGGCGTTCGGGCGGGCGTTCGGGCGGCGTCCAATTTTGTCCGGAGCATATCTCCTACATGTATGGAGGGATTTTAATGAAACTTCATATAAATGTTCACCACTATGAGGAGCAGTGTCGCGCACATGAACCAGGTCTCTAGGTCAAAGGTCAAGGTCACACTTAGAGCTCATTGAAAAATGCTTGTCCGGAGCAAAACTTCCACATGTATAGAGGGATTTCAATATTATTTGGCACAAATGTTCACCATTGTGAGGCGGAGTGTCGCGTGCAAGATTCAGGTCCTTGCGGCCAAGGTCAAGGTCACACATAGAGGTCAAAGTTCAGATAAAAATATGAAGATGTGTATATGGACCATTTAGTCATCATTTATTGAGGGATTGTAACACAAATGGTCATTATCAAGACTATGGCTGTGATACATATAATTTAGGTCAATATATACAAGGTCAAGGTCACTAAAGATGATGAAATATCCAGATTTTGTAAATAGAATTTAATCAAAGGGAGACAACAAAGTTATTACTTTGTTCATAAATGACTTACACAATTACTCCTCTTGATCTTTTTTCACTTTCAATTCTAAAAATAGAATTTAATCAAAGGGCATGAAATAATCCTCTTTCTTGGACTTGAGTATGTTCTAAAGAATGTAACATTTATTTACACATGTTTCATTCATTGGTCAAGATTCTTAACTGTGATAACTATGGTGTTCTGTAGACTTGGTATTTGTTCATAAAGATCATACAGTAATTACCTTATCAAATGTAAATACTTTCTCATAGAAATTTAATTATATTTTAATTTTCAAGTAAATATCAGTTCAGCTCATTCAAAGATTAAGAATTGTAATGAAATGTATTTCCCTAGAATAAAATCTTAAATCAGAATTTTCTAGTTATTAAATTACATGTACTTTTTATACGCACGTTTAAAAAAAGATAAAAATATGAAGATGTGTATAGGGACGATTTAATCATCATTTATTGAGGGATTGTAACACAAATGGTCATTATAATGACTACGGATGTGACACATGTACTTTAGGTCAATATATGCAAGGTCAAGGTCACTAAAGATGGTGAAATATCCAGATTTTGTCTGGAGCATATCTCCTACATGTATGGAAGAATTTTTATAATACTTTATGGAAATGTTCACCACCATGATATGTATTGCTCCATGCATGATCCAGGTCTCCAGGTCAAAGGTCAAGGTCACACTTAGAGCTCATTGAAAAACGCTTGTCCAGAGCAAAACTTCTACATTCATAGGGGGTTTTCAATATAACTTGGCACAAATGTTCACCATTGTGAGGCTGAGTGTCGCATGCAAAATTCAGATCCCTGCGACCAAAGTCAAGGTTACACATAGAGGTCAAAGTTCAGATAAAAATTTGAAGATGGTTATAGGGACCATTTAGTCATCATTTATTGATGGATTGTAGCACAAATGGTAACTGTCATGACTACAGGTGTTACACATTTAATTTAGGTTAATATTTGCAAGGTCAAGGTCACTGGAGATGATTAAATATCCAGATGTTGTCCGAAGCATATTTTCTACATGCATGGAGGAATTTTAATGTTACTTTTATAGAATTGTTCACCACCATGAGACGTAGTGCCCTGCACATAAACCAAGTCTCTAGGTCAAAGGTGAAGGTCAGTTAGAGCTCATAGAAAAACACTTGTCTGGAGCAAAACTTCTACATGCATAGAGGGATTTCAATATAATTTGGCACAAATGTTCATCATTGTGAGGCTGAGTGCCGTGCATAAAATTCAGGTCCCTGCGACCAAGGTCAAGGTCACACATACTGTGCATATCTTCCCTATTGATTTGTTTTAAGGTTCATTTAACAACACAGTGCCAAGAATAAAAACTTGCTTGCTAGATAACACTTATCCATAATGCCCCCATCTCCATCTAAAGCTTTTTCGTAAACGGGCGTATTTTGTGACTATGGCACCCTTGTTACAATTTAACTTTGTCCGGGACTTAACTCTAAAACTATAAAAGGTATCAACATGAAACTTTGTAGGTAGATAGATCTCATTGAATAGGTGTGCAGTGCACAAGAACTGTAACTCTGCCTTGTCTAATACTTGAATTATTGCCCTTTGTTTATTTTTATGCCCCCGCCATGTAATGGCCGGGGCATATAGTGTTACCCTGTTCCGTCATTCCGTCCTTCCGTCCTTCCGTCATTCTGTCATTCCGTCATCATCAGTTTCCGTTCATTATCTTAAGAACGGTTAGACATATTCAACTCAAATTTGACATATGGATATGTCATGAGAAAATACAGGTCAAGTTCGAATTTGGTCATGGTTCGATGATTTTTGGCAGACTTATGCCCCTTTTACTTTGAAAATAATATGAAATTTCAGTTTCCGTTCATTATCTTAAGAACGGTTGGACACATTCAATTCAAACTTGACATATGGATATGTCATGAGAAAATACAGGTCAAGTTCGAATTTGGTCATGGTTTGATGATTTTTGGCAGAGTTATGCCCCTTTTACTTTGAAAATAATATGAAATTTCAGTTTCTGTTCATTATCTTAAGAACGGTTGGACACATTCAATTCAAACTTGACATATGGATATGTCATGAGAAAATACAGGTCAAGTTCGAATTTGGTTATGGTTCGATAATTTTTTGGCAGAGTTATGCCCCTTTTACTTTGAAAATAATATGAAATTTTCAGTTTCCGTTCATTATCTCCCCAATGGTACAACACAATCAACTCAAACTTGACATATTGATATGTCATGAAAAAAATACAGGTCAAGTTCGAATTTGGTCATGGTTCGGTGATTTTTGGGAGAGTTATGCCCCTTTTACTTTGAAAATAATATGAAATTTTTCAGTTTCCGTTCATTATCTCCCTCAAGGTACAACACATTCAACTCAAACGTGACATATGGATGCGTCAAAGGAATGCGCAGGTCAAGTTCAAATTTGGTAATGGTTCAATGATTTTTGGCAGAGTTATGCCCCTTTCACTTTGAAAGTAATATGAAATTTTCAGTTTCCGTTTATTATCTCCCCAATGGTACAACACATTCAACTCAAATTTGACATATGGATATGTTTTTGGAATGCCCAGGCCAAGTTCAAATTTGGTCATGGTTCAATGATTTTTGGTAGAGTAATGCCCCTTTCACTTTGAAAATGATATGAAATTGACAGTTTCTGTTCCTTATCTACCCAACAGTGTCACATATTCAACTTTAATTTGACATATGGATATGTCAAAGGAATGGGCAGGTCAAGTTCGAATTTGGTCATGGTTTGATGATTTTTTGGCAGAGTTATGTCTCTTTCACTTTGAAAATAATATAGATACATCTTAGGAATAAGCAGTTTAAGTTTGAATTTGGTCATGGTTCAATGATTTTAGACAAACTTATCTTTCCTGAATGTTGGAAAAATTTTGAACTTTCAGTTTCACCACTCATTCTTTTAGCCATTATTTTGGCTACAAATATGCAATATGCTATTTCTAAAAGGTTAAGACTGAATAATTTCAGTGCTTTCAACATTGTATGGAAATAGTTTGTGTTAACATTGAAAAGTTTTAAGGGCTTTGAACTTAAAATGAAAAAAATAATTAAAGCACCATCTGAAATTTTGGCTGCATGCGGGGGCATCCGTGGCATGATGACACATTTCTAGTTTCTCTTTGAACTTTCTTGCCTAATTTCGGGATATAACTTTAAAAGTAATCAGAGATACCAACATGAAACTTTGTAGGTAGATAGATCTCATTGGATAAAACTGCAATGCTAAAGAACCTAAACACAGCCTTGTCTAATTTTGGAGTTATTGCTATTTGGGTTTTTTTTACACTTTGAATTTAACCTGGGACATAACTCTGAAACTATAAGAGATATCATCACAAAACTTTATAAATAGATAGATCTCATTGAATAGAAGTGCAGTGCAAAAAACCTTAACTCTGTCTTGCCTAATTTTGGAGTTTTTGCCCATTGTTCATTTTTTATACTTTCCTGTGTCCAAAATCTTCTCGGGGAGCATCACCCAGTTCAACTGGTTCTTGTTTTTTTTCAGATGAGAAGACATTTGAAGAATATTTTGACGAGTATTATAAATTGGATTATGAAGATATCATAGATGATATGCCATGTAGATTCAAGTACAGAAAAGTCACTCCAAATTCTTACGGACTTTCTGTAGATGAGGTATTATAAGTTTTATTATATCCAGCTTGTTACCTTTGTACAAAGTAAACTAGGTCTATGGCAAGACCTTGGATTCAAGCTCTCCAGATAAGATGTGCGTATGCATAAATTCAGGGCTTTCAGGGAGGGGAGGGGGATATTGTTTTGGCGTTGTCCGTCCGAATTACATTTCCTCGTAGTTCTCTGCAACTACTGGCTGGAATCCAACGAAACTTTATTGGAACCATCAATACCAAGAGGAGATGTGCATATCATTGCCTTGTTCCGGTCAGACACTTCAACAAGAGTTCTGGCCTTTGATTTGTTATGCAGTATGCATATAGAGCAATTATCATTTCCGTGCTACTTCTTTGCAACTACTGGCTGGAATTCAACAAAACTTTATCAAAACCGTCAGCATCAGTACCGAGAGGAGATGTGCATATTGTTGCCTTGTTGCAGTCAGACCCTTCTTCACAGGGTTATGGCCCTTGATTAGTTATGCAGTTTGTATATAGAGCAGCTTTCAGTTTCCATGCTAATTTCTCTGCAACTACTGGCAGGAATTCAATGAACCTTTATGGGAACCATCCATACCAAGACCAGATGCACATATTGTTGCCTTGCTTAGGTCAGACTCTTCATCACAGAGTTATGGCCATTGATAAGTTATGCAGTATGCATATAGAGTAATCATCGTTTCTGCGCTATTTCTCTGCAACTATTGGCTGGAATTCAATTAAACTTCATGGGAACCATAAATACCAAGAGGAGATGTGCATATCAATGCCTTGTTCAGGTCAGACCCTTCAGCACAGAGTATGGCCCTTGATTAGTTATGTAGTATGCATATAGAGCAATATTGCTGTTTCTTTGCAACAAAAGTTTATGGGAACCATCAATACAAAAAGGCAATAGAATTTTTGTGCCCCCACTTTGTGGTGGGGATGCATTTAGATTTACCTTTGTCCGTCCGTTCGTCTTGTCCGTCCGTCCGCACTACTGAATAGGGATTGGGGGCCTTCTAACTGGAAACCGAACAAAAGAGAACAATAGAATTCATTCCGTAAATAGAATAAAGGGCCATGGCCTCTATTAAACAAAAGCATAGAAATGGCCCTTTATCCCTTTTCGGTCGGATGTCCTTCTGTTCGTTCTCATTTTGTGCGACACGTTCAAAAAGTATTTGACCTAGAGTCATGAAACTTTACAGGAATGTTGATCAGCATGTGTTGTTGTGCACCTGGTTATTTTTAGAATATTTGTGCCCCCACTTTAGATTTACTCTTGTCCGTCAGTCCGCACTACCATATAGGGATAGGGTGCCATCTAACTGTAAACAGAATGAAAGAGAACAATAGAATTCATTCCGTAACAATAGAATAAGGGGCTATGGCCCTCTATTAAACAAAAGAAAATAACAAAGAAATGGCGCTTTATCCCTATGTCACAAAGATATTTTACCAAACAAAGAGATTATCTATTTTACTAATCTGTCCAGTAATCATGTTAGTGTACCTGTTGTTACAGGAAAAATTTTATCAAAAGTTTTTCAACATATTATTTTATATTTGTAGTTTTATGGACAGATAAATCTTAATTCTCTATAAGACAGTCATATTACATTTATAATTCTATTTGTAACCATGTCTTCTTTTTTGTTTGTCGTTAAGGTGAAATGCTTGACTACAAATTGATATAAAAGGCCAGCGTGTTGTTACACAGTACCATTCTGTTATCAACATTAACCTTTTCCCTTATATAAGCGTGTTTCGACGGCTTTTTGCCCCCCCCCCCCCCCTTTTTGAGGCCTCAAACAGTGAAAAAATGCCCTATTTAGTCCCCAAACACTGTTTTTCGTTTGAGAAATGTTGTTAAAGAAAGTGACCACTTTTTCGGCGCCGTCCCCCATCCAAACATTACATCAGGGGGTTGCCAGAAGGGGGATGTGCCCCCTTCTGTTTGGGGGGTTTGAAGGGGGGGGCGGAGTCCCCCTCATCGCAAAGAAAATTTTGGACATGTGACAGGCTAAAAATGGCCTCGGGTTGATCTTAGGGAAACTAGTAACCGTCGCTGAAAAGGCTTTTACTCTATCTCAATTCATTGAGAAGTTGCAGCACCTTGAAATCAGTTTTGATGGAAAAAAAACAATGCAAAATAGTGATTTTTGGCAATTTGGAGACGTCCCCCCCGTTGCCATGGTAACAGGAAATTTACCATTGAGCATGCTGTTACAGAGGCTATGGTGTAGTCAACATTTGTGCCAAGTTTCATTAGTATTGAAGCATTTTTCATAGTTTCATAGCAGTTTGAACTTGTTACAGGAGGCTTTTCAATGAAAACGGCCATTTTTTCGCAATATGCTCGTGGGGTAAAAGGTTAAACACTGAAAATTTATTTTACTATTCTTTCTTCATTTTTCAAGGTAAGCATTTCATATATTTATTATTGTCAATTTTTCTGTAACTTTGTACAATGATTTTTAATGATTCTTAAACAATTCTTTAAAAAGTTATTTTTATCAATAATTTGTTGACAACCTCTCACTAAGCGATTTTCCCCATACTTTCATGTATTTTCATAATATTCTTATATTTAATATAAATGTTTTATTTTATATTTTGTAAATTATTACTTCTTTTTATTATTTTGTCACTTGTATTAATATGTTTAAATTCATTAGGTGTAATATTCTTTCAGTTCTTTTCATTTTTGGTTATCATGATTATTCATTATTTTTCTCATGTTTGTATTCATCCTTTCATTAACAACATTAAACACTGGAAATTTATTTTACTATTCTTTCTTCATTTTTCTAGCCCAAGATCTGTACGACAAAACTGAGATACAGTTTGGTGAAAAATTCCCGAAAGTAACCAACTACGCACGTGAAACCTTGTGCAAAACAAACACTCTGAAAACAAATAATTCAGAAGAATAACACGCTGAAAACCTCTCGCTCAAAGAAAACCTCGCTGAAACCTATTCGGTTGGATGTCCGTCCATCTGTTCTCATTTTGTGTCACACATAGCTCAAAAACTATTTGACCTAGAGTCATAAAACTTTACAGGAATGTTGATCAGCATGTGTAGTTGTGCATCCGGGTATTTTTGTGTGAATATATATAGTATTTTTAGAGTTATTGCCCTTGACTTAGTAAAATTTTACAATTTTCAACTTGTGTCGCATGTAACTCAAAAAAAATTTGACTTAGAGTCATGAAACTTTACAGGAATGCTGATCAGCATATGAAAATGTCTTCATATTTATACCCCCACCACAAAATGTGGGGGGGGCTATAATGGATTCGCTTTGTCGCGTCGGTCGGTCGGTCGGTCGGTCGGTCAGTCGGTCGGTCGGTCGGTCGGTCCGTCCGTCTCCATTTTCGTGTCCGCTCTATAACTCCTATACCACTTGAAGGATTTTCTTCAAACTTGGCTCAAATGTTCACATCAGCAAGGGGATGTGCAGAACCCATGTTGCCCATGTGTCAGCTCAAGGTCAAGGTCACAATTGAAGGTCAAATATCAAACACAATCATATATTAGACAGTATGTCGTGTCCGCTCTGTAGGTCCTACAATAATTGAAAGATTTTCTTCAACTTGGCTAAAATGTTCACCTCAACAAGGGGATGTGCAGAACTCATGTTGCCCATGTGTCATTTTAAGGTCAAGGTCACAGTTGAAGGTCAAATATCAAACAATCAAATTTTACACAATATGTCGTGTCCGCTCTGTAAGTCCTACACTAATTGAAAGATTTTCTTCAAACTTGGCTCAAATGTTCATTTCAACAATGGGATGTGCAGAACCCATGTTGCCCATGTGTCAGCTCAAGGTTCAAGGTCACAATTGAAGGTCAAATATCAAACAATCAAATATTACACAGTATGTCGTGTCCGCTCTGTAAGTCCTACACTTATTGAAAGATTTTCTTCAAACTTGGCTCAAATGTTCACCTCAACAAGGTTTATGTGCAGAACCCATGTCACTCTTTTGCCGGCTTAAGGTCAAGGTCACACTTGAAGGTCAAAAATTGACTTAGAAAATGTTCTTTAATTTTAACATATATCTGAATATTTCTGAATCTAGGAAAGGTATTTGCTTGAAACTTAAAATATAAAAACGAAGTGTCACAATTAAGATATGCTGGTCAAGTTTCATAACTCTGTATTGCATTTTAACAAAAGTTATGCCCCTTTTTAATCTTCAAATATACATACAATCACATATTAGACAATACATGTATGTAGTGTCCGCTCTATAAATCCTATACTAATGGAAGAATTTTCTTCAAACTTTTCTCAAATGTTCACTTAAACAAGGTTATGTGCAGAATCCATGTCACCTTTGTGCAGGCTAAAGGTCAAGGTCAGACTTGAAGGTCAAAAATTGACTTAGAAAATGTTCTTAGATTAAAACATGTTCTTGAATATTTCGGAAACTAGCATAGGTATTTGCTTGAAACTTAAAAGATATATGAGGTGTCACAATTACGATATGCAGGTCAAGTTTCATAACTTTGTATTGGATTTTTGACAAAGTTATGCCCCTTTTTAAGTCTTTAAATTTACATACAATCAATACTAGACAATATGTTTGTGTCCGCTCTATAAATTCTATACTAATGGAAGGATTTTCTTCAAACTTTACTCAAATGTTCACTCCAATTGGGCGATGTGCAGAACCCATCTTACCCTTGTGCCAGCTGAAGGTCAAGGCCACACTTGAAGGTCAAAAATTGACTTATAAAAAGTTTAGTATATTGGGAAAATGAAAGGTTATTTGTAACTGTTTCGAACATGATTTGATAATAGATATTTTTACTATTACCTGTACAATTATGTCTTTTTTTCACCAGAGATAATTTCTTTTTATGTATTTGTGTCACTTAAGTTATTCCCTTAACCACCTTTCCAAGTTGTCTTCTGTCAAGGACATTGGTGGGGGTATGAATCGCATTCAGCGATAGTTCTAGTTGGTATTTAGATTGGTCATGATTAGTAGATAATCCCTATT